GCCTGCAGCCCCAGTGTAGTCCTTGGGGCCTCCTGGGGAGATTGCTAAACCCCAGTTGAAAGTTTCCATTTTTCTGTCCAGACTCCCAGTATCCAATTCAGGCCAGTGCCAGGAACTGTTGGGATTCTGGACCAGGAACTGGATAGCTGTCATAGCCCTGGGCTGGGGAGGACACAGCAATGCAAGCTTGATCTATTCCAGCTGCCACCCCCAGGGCCAGGGAAGTATAATCCCTTGTGGGCAACCCTGACAGCCACAGGCAGCCTAGGGGGGTGCCCACAGCCCCAGGGAGCCACTGGGCTTGTGTCCAGTTGGGGACATGGACCTGGGTCACCCCAATCATCCAGGCCTCCCAAGTCAAAATGATTTAGTACTTTAAGATCAGACTTGGATACATACTAAACCAGGATTCTGTCTCTGGTGAGGGTGCTGGAATTGAGGACAGAGGCCAAGGGGGTTTTGAGCCTTATCTTAAATGTTCTTTTATACTCCCTAAAGAAAACATATTCGTAGACTAGTTGTACAATTAAAAAAAAAAATCCCTCACACTTTTTTTTTTTTTTTCGATCAGACTTAAAGAACTAACTGTAAAAATACCAGTAGTTTTACAAGAAACTCCAAACATGCTCCTTTTCAGACAGACCATGTTCCTAAGGGTTTGGAGTCAGAGCCGACTCCTCGGACCTCAGTTTCCCCATCCGTACCAGAGAAAGAAATAGGTTTAATAGTCTCCAAGGTCCTTTTGGCCTCGTCACCAGGTGACAAGAAGCTTCACTCTGTGAAGTGACAGGCTGCCTATGAGCTCCCCAGGGGCATTCTCTGCCATGGTGGAAACTAGTAGCAGACATGGCATTCCCTGAGCCATGTGGCCTCAGAGGCATGGGCTGTTGATTTGGGATGACCTCAGGGCCTTGGGGGGGGGCAGCAGAAGACTCTAGGGGTTTCTTTGTGTAGGTAGGTCAGTGGAGTTGTCCTCCTTGGGAGAGTTATGACAGACCCCAGAAAGCTTCAGAGCACCCTGGCCTCAGTGAAGCTAGACCCAACACTGGCTTTGCAGCCTGGGTAGTCACTTCTCTTCCACACTTAGTATTGAACAGGCATGATCTGTAGGGGGTGTTAAGACAGAAATGGCCTGGTTAGGGACATTGGCCCCTTGACCTGGCCCTCAGCACCAGTCACTATGACAACAATTCAATAGGGTCCCAAGAGCCGAAGAATCTTGCTTCCACAGAGGTTGGCCGAGGTCACACAAAGAGGGATTAATAGAGCCCTGTTCTCATGAAGCCACAAAGCGCCATTATTAGAAGTCGCAATGACCCTACAGGAGATGCATCATGCTTTCCAGTCACAGAGAACCCAGCAAGCTAAAGAAGATGGTTCCAGCGTCAGCTGCAAAGTCACCCTGGAGCCCAGAATCGAGGAGGAGGAGAGAGATGAGAAATGGCTCTTCAGTAAACAACTCCCTAAAGCATGGTACAGCCACACTATGTAGCCTACGTTGGTCCTTTCAGTCATGATGTTGATTATATTTATTACATTAAAATCCTTCATTCCTAGGGCTGGTCCAAAATCCTGACAGGGTGGAGAAATGGAAAAGGGATTGAGGTGTGACCACGTTCCAGTGGAGAGTGATTTCTCCCTCTGTCTCTCTGGTGAGCACACACACCCTGTGGCAATTAAACAACAACAACAAAATCCAAAAAATGGGTACTTCTTATTTTTTTAAGATTTTTTTTCCCATATGGTGCGTGTGCCTGCCGGAGACAGAGAGACAGAAACAGGAAGAGGGAAAGTGAGAAATCGCTCTCCAGCCCTCTGCAATTCCTTCTCCTCCATTCTCCTCTAGTGATTTTAGGCATACACACACATTCACCCAGCGTGATTTTTCAAGCCACCAGGCCTGGGACTCATACCACAGTTAGTCGTGTGAAAGTCCAGCACCTTAACAACCACCACAAATGCTGTCTCTGGACACATTATTTTTTGGGGGGAGAGGTTTTTGCTACAGAGAGTGTGCACTTGCCAGAAAGACAGAGATAGAAAGCAAGAAATCACCCCCCAGAGGGATGGCCACGCTGCAATCCCTTCTCCTCCATTATCCTCTCAGGATCTCGGGCATAGATGCACACACACCCGGCGTGAATTTAAGCCAGTGGGTCTGGGACTTGAAGCATGGTTGACTACAATGGAAGTACAACTAACTGCTGGTCCCTCTGGGCATATTTTTAAAGTAAAATACCATGGCTGTATTTTATGTATTTTATGGCTCAGAGACCTAAATAGACATTACTCCAAAGAAGACACACGATACAAATGGCTAATAAGCACATGAAAAGATGCTCACCATCGTTTGTCATCAGGGAGATATAAATCAAAACCACAAGACACTGCTTCACATCTTGAGGACAACTAGAACCGAAACGATGGATATTAACAAGTGTTAGTGAAGAAGTGGGAAGATAGGGACCTCGTACACTACTGGTGGGAATATAAGTGCTGCATTTGGAAAACAGTCTGGCGGTTCCTCCAAAAGTTAAACATGAAATTGTCATGTGACCTCGCAATTCTGTTCCTAGGAATTCACTCGAGAGAAATGGAAACATAGGTCTACACAAAAACATGTATGTAAGTGTTCACAGCTACAGGCTTTGTAGCGGTCAAAAGGTAGAAAAGTTGAAGAACCCAGATGTTCATCAACTGATGAGTGGATAAACAACAGTGTGGTTGGTGTATGTACAATGGAATAGAATTCAGTCAGAGAAAGGGATGACATATTGATATATGCTACAACGGGATGAACGCCCAAAGCATTATGCTAGGCGAAAGAAGTCAGAATTACCAAAAAGTCACATTTTATTTCATTCTATTTACATGAAATGTCCAGAATGGACATTATATTGAGATAGAGAGTAGATTGGTTATTACTTAGGGCTGGGGGGCACGGGAGATGGGGGTGTGAAAGCAGAGGAATGTGGAGTTTCTTTGTAAAGTGATCAAAGTGTTCGAATCGATTGCGATGGTGGTAGTGGTACAATACTATGAAAATAATAAGAACCATTGAATTGTACACTTTAAGTGGATAAATTGTATGGTAAGTGAATTATATCTCAATAAAGTCATTAAAAAATGCAGGGAAGGGGACCAGCACGTGGCATGGTGGTTAAGGTGCTGGACACTCCCATATAGCCTAACACGGTTCAAGTCCTGGATCTGGTGGCTTGCTTTCTCACTTTCCCTCTCTCTCTCTTTCTGTTTCTCTCCAGTCAAATTAAAATAAATGAATGAATAAAATAAATAAATAATTTTTTTTAAATGCGGGGATGTAAAGCATTAATGCAAGTCAAAATGTTTCAGTGAACAAGTTTCAATAGTTCAATTTTATAACAATTATAAATAAACCTGCTAAATTTTTTCTGGACAATGCCAGCATTTGGATTTTTAAAAACAAATAAATTTCTTATTGACAGCACTTAAATGGTGTTTGTAGCATTTTTATCATATAGTAGATTCCATCCATTCACTATACTTTTCTGAGTTGTCCTACATGCAAGTACATGTTTTTAACGTTGTCTGTCTTCTGTGCTGTTTCTTTAAATTTGCTACTAAAATACATTAAACTAAAAAATAATAATAATAAAAGCACGACAGGGTGGGCTGGACTTATGGCCTGGTGGTTAAGGGAGCCAGCTTCCACATGGCCAACCATGATTCAAATCCCAACTCTAGCAGTTTAAAATACACATAGGGAGTGTGTGTGTGTGTGTGTGTGTGTGTGTGTGTGTGCATACCCCAGATACCGACAGGATGAAGAAATGGAGGCAAAGGGGTTGTGGTGTAACCATGTCCCATCGGGAGGGTGCCTTTTCCCCCTCTTTTCTTCTCTTTCTCCCTGTGGTGAGCACACACAAGCCTCTGACAAAAAAAAAAGAAGAAAGAAAGAAAGAAAATGAGAGAGAGAGAGAAGAAAAGGAAGGAAGGAAGGAAGGAAGGAAGGAAGGAAGGAAGGAAGGAAGAAAGAAAGAAAGAAAGAAAGAAAGAAAGAAAGAAAGAAAGAAAGAAAGAAAGAAAGAAAGAAAGAAAGAAAGAAAGAAAGAAAGAAAGAAAGAAAAAAGAAAACATAAGAAGAAACAACTGGGAAGTTGCCCTCCTTGGTCCTCTCTGTAGACCGAATGTCAGTGGGCACCCAGGTCTACCCGGCATCACAGGAAAGAGTTCTAACTCCAGCTGTGTAACCTCCTCAGACAATCCGCATCATCTCCCTGAAGTGGAGACATGACCCTGCTGCAGGGTAAGCTTGTGGGGCTCTCAGGGGCGCCAGAGATCAGCAGGGACTGAAGGCTGTTTCCCAGGAGCTCCTCCGAGACCCTGCCGGGAAGGTGCCAGCCTTACTAAGCTAGTGCAGCCTGATGATTCCCTTCTAAGGAATTAACTGCCATTTGTCTTGTTGATGTTTAACATCTAAATAACAATCCATCAGACTATGGGTCTGAGAAACTCAGGGAAGTTTCGGAAGGCAAGAGTTGCAGTGTAGCTGCAGGGAGCCCCGGGTGGCTGTCCACACTTGAGTGATCCTTTTTTTCTTTCTTTTTTAAAATCAGTTTTTTTAAAAAAATATTTTTTTATTTGCTATTATCATCATTTATCCAATTTGATCAGAGAGAGAAAAGGAAAGTGAGGAAGCAAGCTGCCAAGTTCAGGACTCCTATGCGGGAGTCGAGCACGTTAACCACCACACCATCTGCCGGCCCTGAGCGGTTGTTTGTCTGCTTTACCCTCAGCTGCAGAATCTGGAGCTTTTTGGTCTCCCTCCTGCACCGTCCCTCTCCCAGCCTTGTTTAAGCACCCTGCTTTCAAAGATACCCTAGATCTGCCGTTCTTATTCATGAACTTGCAGAGAGTGCCGGGCACACTCATGTTAGGGACAAGGGGACTGAGGCACAGGGACAGTGGCCCAGCTCCAGTGGCCTTACCAGTTCCCCAGCGTGTGGACTCTGCCCCGTGTCACGTGTGCTCCCTGACTTAATCCCAACAGAGGCAGATGTTATCTTCTCGTTTACAGCTGGGAACAGGGAGCCTTGCTCAAGGTCCCTCAGAGCGTAAGCAAGCTGGGACTCCTGCCCAGTCTGTCTGACACCGAAGGCCGTATTCTTTCTCTTGGACGGTTCCAGTGCCTCCATGTCTGAAACCAAACAGGTCAAAGAGGAGAGGAGATGCACTTCCACCTCCACCCCCGTCTGCTGATCTGGCTTTGCAAGGTACCTGCGCCTCACTGGGCCAGGTGTCACCCTCACCCCCTCAGCCCCACTCACTTCTCTCCCTCGTTGCTGGACTTGCTGCGGCCCTGGGTCCCTTGTCTGCCCCTCTCTAAACTTGGGCGGAGAGCTTCCATTTAAAGTCCCCTGGGACAACAGGGGAAAGAATTATGGATGTTCCCAGTTCTCAGTCTTGAGTCTCACTCTCAGGGTGCCTTTTGTTGCCAAGAAAGATGAAACAGATGTCTTGGCAGTAGCCTCAAATGTTCCTGCCAAACCAGGGGAGAACTTGTCTTCGGTTTGGAGACAGCCAGGAAAGACGAGCCCCAGCCATGTTATTCACAGGAAACGCACAAACACACGCGGGCTTCTTAAACCTGGGAGGCCTGCAGCTCCCAGCAGCCCCTCTTCACCAGGATTGCAACATCGAAGGCGAAGGTGGAAGCGCATTGATTGCTGACCCGCCCCCCACTTGCTTTTCTCCTTCTGTCCTCTATGACACCTCCCCCTCGTCCCCGGCCAACCCCTGCACCACGTAGTCAATGACTCCATGGCCTCTGGCTGGCAGGCAAGGCCACCTTCCTTCTTGGGCTTGGTCCCAACGTGCTCTTGGTGCGTATTTCTTTTTTCAGTGGTGGTTAAATACACGTAACATATAATCTACCATGGAACCATTTTGAAGTGTGCACTTCAGTGGTATTTAGCACCTTCACTGTTTTGTACAATCATCCCCACTATCTACTTCCACGGCATTTTATCATCCCAAGTGGAAAGCCTGAACCCATCAAGCAGTCACTTCCTGTTTCAGCCACTCCCCAGCCCTGGCAGCTGCTAATCCACTTTCTGTTTTTATGGATTTGCCTATTCTGGATATTCCGTATAAATGAAATTGCATAATATGTGACCTTTCCTGTCTGGTTTTCACTCTACTAGATGTTTTCAAGGGTCATCCACATCGTAGCATGTGTCAGTGTTGATACTACATGGCTATATTTAATCTATGTTATGACTGAATATGTTCCTTTGTATGACTATACCACATTTTGTTTATTTATTCTACAGTTGATGGATGTTTGGGTCATTTCCACCTCTTAGCTATTGTGAATAAGTGTGAATATAAACATTTTTATACAAGTTTTGACACATCCATCATCAATTCTTTTGTATATATACCTAGGAGTGGAGTTGCTGAGTCATGTGGTAATTCTGTTTAATTTTCTGAGGAACCACCAAGCCATATTCCACAGTGCCTATAGCATTTTACATGTTCATCGACAGTAAATGAGGGTTGCCATTTCTCTACATCCTCACTTCATCGACAGTAAATGAGGGTTGCCATTTCTTTATATCCTCACCATTTGTTACTTTACTTCAAAAAAAAAAATCTAACCTTCCTGGTAGTTACAAATGGAATCTCATTGTGCTTTTGATTTGTGTTTTCCTAACGGCTAATGGAACTCGTTGACAATATTTTCATGTATTTTTTTGGCCCTTGGTGATACAGTTTCTTTGGAGAAATGCCTACTTAAGTCTTGTATCCATATTTTAATTGAGTTGTTTTATTGTTAAGACATAGAATTCTTTATATAGTCTGGATACCAGATCCTTATAAGGTATATAGTTTGCAAATATTTTCTCCCCTTTTCTGAGTTGTCTTTTGCTCACTTGATGGTGTCCTTTGAAGTACAAAAGTTTTAATATTTTAATACAGTTCAATTTTTCTCTTTTATTCTACCTTTGTTTTTCCTTTTTTTCCTCTATCTTGTTTGTGATTTTGATGCCATATTTAAGACTCCATTGCCAAGGAGTCCAGCAGGTGGTATAGTGGTTAATGGGCTAGACTCCCACTTGGCCAACCATGGCTAAAGTACCAGACCTGATGGCTTCAAAATCACACTAGGCACATGTGTGTGTGTGCCCAAAATCCCAGGAGGAGAATGGAGGAGAAGGGATTGTGGTGTGGTCACCTCCCCCCCTCACCCCCAAGGGATGACTTCTCACTTCCTCTCTCTCTCTGGCAAGTGTATATGCCCTAGGGCAAAAGCCAAAAATGAAAAAAAAAAAAAAAAAAAAAAAAAAAACAAAGGAAATTCATTGTCAAATCCAAGATCATGAAGATTAACCCTACATTTTGTTTCTAAGAGTTTTATGGTATTAACTCTTATATTAGGCCTTTGATGCACTTTGGTTTTTTCCTTTTCTTTTTGTATATGATATGAGGCAGGGTCCAATTCCATTATTTTACATATGAATATGTCCTTCAGCACCACTGCTGAAGAGACTCCTCTGTCTGCATTGCATGATCTTGGCATACATGTAAAAAATAAAATGCCAAGGGTATATGAGTTTATATCTGGGCTTTCTATTCTAATCCATTGATCTATATGTCTATCCTTGTGCCAGTACCACACTGTTTTGGTTACTGTAACTCTGTAATGATTTTTGATATTAGAAAGTGTGAGTCCTCCAACGTAATTCTTTGTTTACTTCAGGATTGTCTAGTATTCAGGGTCTCTTATGATTTCATATGAGTTTTAAGATTAACTTTTCCATTTTTATAAAGAAGGTCATTAGAATATTGATAGGGATGACATTGAATCTGTACAGCAATGTGAGGATCATTGGGTCCTTAGCAATATTAAGCCTTCTAATCCATGAACATGGGATGTCTTTGCACTACCTTAGGATTTCTTTAATTTCTTTCAGCAATGTTTTATAGTTTTCTGTGTACAAGTCTTTCATTTCCATGGTTAAATTAATTTCTAAATATTTTATTGTCTTTCTGCTACTATAAATGGATACGTTTAGTTTTCTTTTCATATTGTTTATAGAAATGCAACTAAGTTTTCTATGTTAATATTGTATCCTTCAACTTTGTTGAATTCATGTATTAGTTATAATCATTTTTCATGTGTCTTTAGCATTGTCTACATGTAATATTATATTATCTGCAAATAGAGATATGAGAATATTTACTGTTCCTTTTACTGTCTGGATGTTGTTTATTTCTTTTTCTTAATTACTTAGGCTAGCACTCCTAGTACAATATGAATAGAAGTAGTGGGAGAGCTTCCATTTAAAGTCCCCTGGGACAACAGGGGAAAGAATTATGGATGTTCCCAGTTCTCAGTCTTGAGTCTCACTCTCAGGGTGCCTTTTGTTGCCAAGAAAGATGAAACAGATGTCTTGGCAGTAGCCTCAAATGTTCCTGCCAAACCAGGGGAGAACTTGTCTTCGGTTTGGAGACAGCCAGGAAAGACGAGCCCCAGCCATGTTATTCACAGGAAACGCACAAACACACGCGGGCTTCTTAAACCTGGGAGGCCTGCAGCTCCCAGCAGCCCCTCTTCACCAGGATTGCAACATCGAAGGCGAAGGTGGAAGCGCATTGATTGCTGACCCGCCCCCCACTTGCTTTTCTCCTTCTGTCCTCTATGACACCTCCCCCTCGTCCCCGGCCAACCCCTGCACCACGTAGTCAATGACTCCATGGCCTCTGGCTGGCAGGCAAGGCCACCTTCCTTCTTGGGCTTGGTCCCAACGTGCTCTTGGTGCGTATTTCTTTTTTCAGTGGTGGTTAAATACACGTAACATATAATCTACCATGGAACCATTTTGAAGTGTGCACTTCAGTGGTATTTAGCACCTTCACTGTTTTGTACAATCATCCCCACTATCTACTTCCACGGCATTTTATCATCCCAAGTGGAAAGCCTGAACCCATCAAGCAGTCACTTCCTGTTTCAGCCACTCCCCAGCCCTGGCAGCTGCTAATCCACTTTCTGTTTTTATGGATTTGCCTATTCTGGATATTCCGTATAAATGAAATTGCATAATATGTGACCTTTCCTGTCTGGTTTTCACTCTACTAGATGTTTTCAAGGGTCATCCACATCGTAGCATGTGTCAGTGTTGATACTACATGGCTATATTTAATCTATGTTATGACTGAATATGTTCCTTTGTATGACTATACCACATTTTGTTTATTTATTCTACAGTTGATGGATGTTTGGGTCATTTCCACCTCTTAGCTATTGTGAATAAGTGTGAATATAAACATTTTTATACAAGTTTTGACACATCCATCATCAATTCTTTTGTATATATACCTAGGAGTGGAGTTGCTGAGTCATGTGGTAATTCTGTTTAATTTTCTGAGGAACCACCAAGCCATATTCCACAGTGCCTATAGCATTTTACATGTTCATCGACAGTAAATGAGGGTTGCCATTTCTCTACATCCTCACCATTAGTTACTTTACTTAAAAAAAAAAAAAATCTAACCTTCCTGGTAGTTACAAATGGAATCTCATTGTGCTTTTGATTTGTGTTTTCCTAACGGCTAATGGAACTCGTTGACAATATTTTCATGTATTTTTTTGGCCCTTGGTGATACAGTTTCTTTGGAGAAATGCCTACTTAAGTCTTGTATCCATATTTTAATTGAGTTGTTTTATTGTTAAGACATAGAATTCTTTATATAGTCTGGATACCAGATCCTTATAAGGTATATAGTTTGCAAATATTTTCTCCCCTTTTCTGAGTTGTCTTTTGCTCACTTGATGGTGTCCTTTGAAGTACAAAAGTTTTAATATTTTAATACAGTTCAATTTTTCTCTTTTATTCTACCTTTGTTTTTCCTTTTTTTCCTCTATCTTGTTTGTGATTTTGATGCCATATTTAAGACTCCATTGCCAAGGAGTCCAGCAGGTGGCATAGTGGTTAATGGGCTAGACTCCCACTTGGCCAACCATGGCTAAAGTACCAGACCTGATGGCTTCAAAATCACACTAGGCACATGTGTGTGTGTGCCCAAAATCCCAGGAGGAGAATGGAGGAGAAGGGATTGTGGTGTGGTCACCTCCCTCCCTCACCCCCAAGGGATGACTTCTCACTTCCTCTCTCTCTCTGGCAAGTGTATATGCCTAGGGAAAAAGCCAAAAATGAAAAAAACAAAAAACAAAAAAACAAAAAAAACAAAGGAAATTCATTGTCAAATCCAAGATCATGAAGATTAACCCTACATTTTGTTTCTAAGAGTTTTATGGTATTAACTCTTATATTAGGCCTTTGATGCACTTTGGTTTTTTCCTTTTCTTTTTGTATATGATATGAGGCAGGGTCCAATTCCATTATTTTACATATGAATATGTCCTTCAGCACCACTGCTGAAGAGACTCCTCTGTCTGCATTGCATGATCTTGGCATACATGTAAAAAATAAAATGCCAAGGGTATATGAGTTTATATCTGGGCTCTCTATTCTAATCCATTGATCTATATGTCTATCCTTGTGCCAGTACCACACTGTTTTGGTTACTGTAACTCTGTAATGATTTTTGATATTAGAAAGTGTGAGTCCTCCAACGTAATTCTTTGTTTACTTCAGGATTGTCTAGTATTCAGGGTCTCTTATGATTTCATATGAGTTTTAAGATTAACTTTTCCATTTTTATAAAGAAGGTCATTAGAATATTGATAGGGATGACATTGAATCTGTACAGCAATGTGAGGATCATTGGGTCCTTAGCAATATTAAGCCTTCTAATCCATGAACATGGGATGTCTTTGCACTACCTTAGGATTTCTTTAATTTCTTTCAGCAATGTTTTATAGTTTTCTGTGTACAAGTCTTTCATTTCCATGGTTAAATTAATTTCTAAATATTTTATTGTCTTTCTGCTACTATAAATGGATACGTTTAGTTTTCTTTTCATATTGTTTATAGAAATGCAACTAAGTTTTCTATGTTAATATTGTATCCTTCAACTTTGTTGAATTCATGTATTAGTTATAATCATTTTTCATGTATCTTTAGCATTGTCTACATGTAATATTATATTATCTGCAAATAGAGATATGAGAATATTTACTGTTCCTTTTACTGTCTGGATGTTGTTTATTTCTTTTTCTTAATTACTTAGGCTAGCACTCCTAGTACAACATGAATAGAAGTAGTGGAAGCAGAAATTTTATCTTGTTCAAGATCTGAGGGGAAAGCATTCATCCTTTCTTTTTAAAAATAATTTAATTAAATTAATTTATTCATTTGGTTTCTCCATAGGGCATGTGTGCCTGCTGGAGAAAGACAGAGAGAGGGAAAGTGAGAAATCACTCCTCAGGATGGTCACACTGCAATCCCTTCTCCGCCTGAGATTTGGGGCATGTATGCACGTGCATACAGCACAAATTTCAAGCCACCTGGTCCAGTCAATCATGTGGGAGTCCAGCCACCTTAACCACCACACCACCTGCTGGCTCCAGTATTTGGCTTTTCACCAAGCGCTGTCTTGAACTCTCACTGCCTAATTCCCCCCATCATCAGTGTGTCCAGCTCCCTGCCCTTGCTTACTCTACCTCCCTGAGGGAAACCACTCTCCAGCTTTTGCCACAACCACATCCTCTAGTTCCCACCTCTCCCCTCCACTCCCCAGTTAAGTACCCATCCTTCAAACTAAGAGTTTTTGTTTGTGTTTTTTATTGAGAAATTCGTGTGCCTCACTCACGTGGCCACGACTAGCCAGTCATCGGCATCTCTTCCTGGCCTCTCCCTACAGCCCTGAGTACAAGGAGGACAGAGGTGCACCTCGCACATGCTGAGATCCTGGAAAAGCTCCTATGTTTTGGACCTATGAGGTCAAGCTTGCTGAGAAAAGTTATGTCGGAGTCTGCCTGACTAAATAAAGAAACAAACCTTCTTGTTGTCTTTGGTGAGTATATATAGTTTCAAACTTATTCATTATGTTTCTCAGAAGTCTATATCTTTATTTACTCTGGGTTCACTTGACCTAGCATTTCTGAGCGAGGCATGTGTTCTGCTCTATTCTAGGAGGGGAGAGAAGAGGGAAGGCAGAACTGTGTTGCTCCGTGGATTTGCCCAGTTGTACCTCACCCACCTCTAAAAGGCCTTGAACCAGACTAATATTTTCTCCCCATTTACCTGTCCAGGACAACAGGGAACCTACGTGAAGAAAAAGAAAAATAGAAATCACACAGAGGAGCAGAAACGCTTTCAAGCAGCCAAGGCCCATCAGTACCCAGAACTTTCAGACTGTCTGGGGATTTCGACCCTTTATTTCTTGAGGTGTGGTCTTCCCTTCCTCGAGTGCCCCCTGCTTCTTCCTTCTGCTTTGTGCATCTGCTCAACAAGAAATCCCCATCGCCATCAGCCAGATGTTTGCTGAGCCTCTTTTGGAGCCCAGGTCACCCTGGAGGCTGTGGGGATATTTCTAAAAGCATTATGTGGTCTGGGGGAGCTGACATCTTGGAGTGGCAGTTATCTTCGGGGTTGAGGGGCCTCCGCAGGCCCCTTGCAGTCAGTCTGTCCCAGCCCTGCCCAGCCCTAGCACCTGGCACTTACTGATCCACTTTCTTTCTTCCTCTTATTTTGTTTATTTTTAAGTTTATTTATTTATTTAGAGACAGGTACCCTGGCCACGCTCCAATCCTGGCTGGCTCCGAGCCAGCAAGGGCCATGTCTGCTGCTTCCTCCCAGTGGCTTCCTGCCCCCTGCCCCACCATGGCTGGGCCGGGATCCACTTTTTGTCACTCAGTTTTGCCTTTTCTAGCCCATTTCTCACAAATGGGCTCACACAGCACAGAGTCTGAGGTCTGGCTTCTCTCACTTAGCATGTTTCTGAGCCGCCACGCTGTATCTGTTAGAAGGCTTCTCCCTTTCCTTGCTGAGCAGTAGTGCCCTGCAGGGTGCACCCGGTTACCCACTGGCCAGCTGAGGGACATTTGGGCGATCTCCTTTGGGAGGGTGTGGGGCCTGGTGTGAAGATTCCTGTAGGAGTCTCTGTGTGTGGCTTTGGCTCTTTTTGAAAAAAGGGGGTGAACAAGAAGTTGAAGAGGAACTTGGAGGAACCCCAAGGGCAAAGAGTCCCCCACGTCCTCCTCACAGTCCAGTGTGACCACAGACTGCCAGAAGCCTCTCTCCACATGCTCTTCCCTCCCTCTGCCCCACCCAGCCCTTTGCTCTGAACAAAAGGTCGGGCCAGGGGAGCGCAGTGGTATGTTTATTTCCTCATCTCCATGGTGCTAGGGAAGCTGCACTGGGTCAGAAGCTCCCTGCTGCCCCAGCCCTGCTGGCGTTCCTAGTGATCCTGCCCAGGGTCACTCCTTCCAGCACATTCTATCTACCTTCCCTTCTGTAGCCCTCCATGGTCCATGCGGATCTAGCCCCCTGGTCACATTTCAGAGCCCCAGGCCCCTCAGTGCCGGTCCTTGCGGACCTCAGTGGTCTTGCCTGGCCGTCTCATGATCCCCACCCCAGGGAGGCGGCGGAAGGAGGGCCTGTTACCTCACCCTGCAGACGGGAGGCAGGGGCTCGGGGAAGCAGAGTGACTTGCATGGGATGACACGCCTCTCCCTTTCCTACAGCTGCCCCCCACACAGCAAGCCCCCAAATGTCTGGCCCTCACTCTTAGGTGAAGAATGGGAACACTTCGATTCTAGAATTCCTTATAGCACAAGGGACAACTAAGTAACAACAGAATTAAATATTCACAGACCATGAGTCTGACACACCTGGCGTTGGTCAAAGAACTTGACGACTATTAACCCATTTTAACCTTCTACATAACTACCCTACTGGGCCAGGCACAGTCATTATCCCCATTTTACGGGTGAGGACACTGAGGCCCAGAGAGGGTAAGTAACTGGGCCCGGGTCACACAACCAGGAGCCTGGAAACCAGCAGTGAGCTACCACACTCTGCCACACATGGAGTTGTTTCTTTTTCTAGTCATTGAATTTCCGAACCAGTTTTATTGCGGTGTAATTTACATACCATAAAAACCACCCGTTTTAATTGCATAATGAAATAATTTTAGTAAATTTGTAGAATTGCACAAACATTGTATCAAGCCAATTTTAGAACATTTCCATCAGCCCAAGGAAGATCTTCCGTGCCCGTCTGTTGTCACTGTTGGTTCTGACCCCAGCCTGAGGCAACCATTCATCTGCTTTCTGTCTCTGTAGATTAGCCCTGGAAATTTCTTATAAATAGACTCATAAATATGTGGTCCTCTGTATCTGGCTTCTTTCACTCAGCATAATGTCTCTGTGGATGAGCCAGCCAGATGGTAGCATGAGTCAGTCCTTTATTCCTTTTTATGGCTAAATAATATTCTGTTGTGTGGATACATTACACTCAGGGTTTTTGGGCTTTTTTCTCTCTCTCTCTTTTTTGGAAAGGTTTTTGCTACAGGGCGCGTGCACTCACCAGAAAGACAGAGAGACAGAGACAGAAAGCAAGAAATCACCTCCCGGGGGAATGGCCACACCACAATCGCTTTTCTTCCATTCTCTTCTCAGGATCTTAGGCACAGGTGCACGCGTGCCTGGCCTGAGTTTAAGCCACCGGATCCGGGACTCGAATCATGGTCGATTACATGGGAGTCCAGCGACATAGCCATTACACTAACTGCTGGTCCCTCTCTCCTCAGCCATGTGGGAGTCCAGGATCTCAATCACCACGCACTTAGGTTTTCTCATTCAACAGCTGGCAGATTAATATTTCCACATTTTTGGTTGTAATAAATAAAACTGCAGGCCTGCCCTATAGCCTAGCAGTTAAAGAAGTCAGATCGCTTATGGCCAGCCGTGATTTGAATTCTAGCCTTGGAGGCTTGAAAAGCATGCTGGGTGCATGTGTATGCATGCCCCAAAGCCCAACGGGACGGAGAGATGAAAGAGGAAGAATTGTAGCATGACCATACCTCCACGGGGAACGCCTTCTTCCTCTGTCTCTCTCTCTCTCTGGCAATGAAAATAAATCAATAAACATTTACATATAAGCTTTTATCCAGATAGCGTGTATTCCTTCTCTCTCTGTGGGTGTACACCTAGGAGTGGAATTGCTGGGTCATATGATAAATTTATGCTCAATTTTTTTTTTTCTTCTAAACGCTACACCATTTTCCATTTCCCTGCTCATGGATTTTACAGTCTAGGAGGCCTGGGTTCGAATCCCAGGGTCACCCATACAACCAGACCCAGTGTAGCGTCCCTGAACTAGCTTGAGTGGTATAATGTGGGGCACCACATCCAGCTCAGCCTCTCCCTGCTTCTGATGGCCTGACAAACTGGGGACAAGATAGCAGCCGCTCTGCTTCCTGATCTAAAACACATTGCCCTTGGGGACCTGGGGTACTTGTTAGGGAAGTTAGCAGCGAATATTAAACTGAAAGGCTAAACAGAAACACAGGCGGAGAAGGCAAGCACTGTCTCTCCGAAAGAAGAAAGCTGGCTTGTAAAAGCAGAGGCAAAGGGAGCTGGCCTGCAGATCTCGGGGGGCTGGGAGCCGCAGGTTCCAGCCACCACCGGCTTCCAGTCCCTATGAGATGAGGGGAGAGGGCACAGGGAGGCCCGGGGACCAGCTGCCAGGAAAGCTGTCAGGCCCGGACTGGGTCAGGGCAGGTGCAGGTGCCACCTCTGGAGTGGGCCTTCCTCAGAGCTGTGCTGCCTTTTAGGAAGAGAAGAAGGAACGCGGCCGCCCCACCATCAGCCAGGACAACTCTGAAAGTCATGGTGCTCTTGAGTCACTTTGCTGTTTACAGAGGCGCAACTTCTTTTTATTTTGGAGAGGTTTTTGCTATAGGGCACGTGTGCTCGCAACAAAGACAGAGAGAGACAGAGAGACAGAGAGGCAGAAAGTGAGAAATCACGCTGCCCCCTCAGGGGGGATGGCCACGCCGCAATCCCTTCTCCTCCATTCTCCTCTCAGGATCTTGGGCACGCACACACACGTGCCCGGCATGAGTTTAAGTCACCGGGTCCGGGACTCAAACTACGGTCAGCTATATGGGAGTTCAGCAACATAGCCATTACGCTAACTGCTGGTCCCCGGAGATGCAACTTCTGAGAGAGATCTTGGCATTTACAGCAGCTGCTGTGATCCCTGCAGTCACACGCCACCCTTCCCCGTGCCCCCTCCCCGTCACTCTCTCCTTAGAGGGCTGTGAAAATGACAGGTCGGTGCTGAGACACAGAGCTCGCAGGGGCGGCTCTGGCACCAGGTTGAGTAGTCTCCCCCACATTCATGTCCACTTAGAATCCACGAACATGGTCTTATTTGGAAAGAGCGTCTTTGCAGATGTAATGCAGGCAAAACCAAGTCACACTGGACGAGGGTGGAGCATGATCCAGTGATGGGTTGTAAGCGGGAAATTTGGACGAAGACACAGGGAGGGCCACTGTGGGGGAGCAGGGACACCCAGGAGAGAGGCCACATAAAGACGAAGACTAGGGACCAGCAGATGGCATAATGGTTACATTGCTGGACTCCCAAGTAGTCAATTGCGGTTCAAGTCCCACACCCGATGGCTTAAAACTCACGCTGGGCATGTGTGCAGGCATGCCCAAAATCTCAAAAGGGGAAGGGATTGCCTTCCCCCCTGGGGAGTGATCTCTCACTTTCTGTCTCTCTGTCTTTCTAGTGAGGGAATGCATCCTACAGCAAAAATCTTTAAAAATGAAAAAGACAAAGGCAGAGACCACAGAGATGCAGCCTCAAGTCCAGGAGTTCCAAGGGTACCAGTAACTGCCAGAAACCAGGAGGAACAAGGATGCTGCCCCGGGGGCTTCGGAGGGTGCGTGGCCCTGACGACACCTCAATTTTAGGCGCATGTCCTCCAGAACTGTGAGAGAGGGGCTTCTGTTGTTACAAGCACCCGGTTTGTGGTGCTTTGTTATGGAAGCCCTGGGAAACTGGGGCAGTGACCAGAGGCCGGGCGTAGGCCACAAGCCGCAGGCTGTGTGTGCTGCAGGGTGACGGAGGGGAGGACCACAGGGCAGAGGGCTGCGTGGAGGAGGCATCTCTTCTAGCTGTGTCTAATGTTTGGGCAGGAGGCCCAGAGAACAGAACTGAACTGGGGGCTCAATGGCTCCTGGTGGGACAGGCTTCTGTGGTTCAAGTTTTTCCACCACTGCCTCCTCTGGCTTCCCTGGAACAAGTACCGCACATAGTAGGTGTCCATTAACTGCTTAGTGTCCTTGGGTGAGCTCAGAGGACGGTCGGCCAGCGGGGCTGGAGGGAGCTAACTGGCTTTCCTAACAAAGCGCTTCGGAGGCGGCTGTGCTGACTTGGCAGAGAAGCGGGGCCCCTGGGAGTTGTCAGCAGAGCTCGTGCTGAGGCGGCCATGTG